TTTTACAACATATTGTACTAATCTTCTCGATGTTTCTTCAATGTACCTCTTTCCATGTTTAAAGAAGTTTCTCTTTTAAAATTAATCCTTCGATATATAGACTCAACAGAGAAATACAATCGCATTCTGTGCGAATTAGAGTTTGGTCTGAAAGGCATCCGGCGGAGTCGAAGGCAGCGCATTGTTTTCTACGATACGATAGCGCTAACTCCGTGCTGTAACACGGTGACCGCATGTTGCCAGATGAACATCCGAGATTGCAGGTGAGGATGCTTACGCGCGCGGACCAATGAATGCACTTACAACGTATGGTCGCGGTAAGAAACGATTGAGGCTCGCGTGATAGCGGGCGACAACGAGGAGGGAGATTACGACGACGACGACGGCGGCAATCGGGAGATCCTTTGTCCCCTAACTACGCTCGCGCCTTCCCGCTCGGTTTCCTCTTTCTTTACGACCGCGACGACCGCGTCGCGTTTAGAAAGGTCGGCCGTTTCTAACCGCTTGTGTGTCGCGCCTGTAATTAAAAGAATGCGACGTGCCACGCGAGCGCGAATGTCCGCGAGTTTACGACTCGTATGGCCGCGATAAGTCCACGTGGAAATGCCGCGACGGCGATACTTTGGATACTTCACCCACGCTCTCTCTCTTTCTTTCTCCCTCCGTTTACGAGTCACCTTCGTCGCTTCGCCGGGTCGCGTGTATTGCGCATAAATGCATAACTGCATAATTAAGGGCGTAATAAAAATGCAGTTCGAACGACAAACGCCGTACCGTTGAGCACAGATACATAAAGCGAAGCTAAATAAGAAACATCTCGCGAATTATATAATCGAGAAGTGTAATAAATAACAAAACTCTGTCTTTTTTTATTTAATCTAAAGTAGAATTTAAGGGTAACAACAGATTTGATTATTAAAATGTTTCTGACATCTGAATCAAAAATTTAATAAAAAGTTGCTTTGAATGACAAGCTTTTTTGATAATTCCTGATAAAGATTTTTTAATCATGAATTTAAGTATATAAGTGGATCTGTTTATATGATCAAATAGATAAGAAAGTGGAACAGCGGTATTTGCCGCATCATGTTCGCAGGTGCATGAAAAAGTCGGATAGCGCATCGGAAGAAAAAAATTCTGGCATGATAGATAGTTGTATTATGTGTTAACTGCTACGTTGATTGATACATATCCGATGTAAGTTTGCGAATTTACAAAGACATTTTGAATTATTATAGAATTCTAATTTGTCATCCCTATAATCAAAGAATAAATCTATAGATCTATTCTACAAAAAAATAATATATATTTAAGCCGATCTATCACAAAATATATAATAAATTGTAATGTTTCATTAATAAGACGGCTCGCGATTATGTTTCGCGACAGATAATGTGTAAAAACCAGTCGCTTGTTTTAGCAAACAAACTGACCTGAAATTATGGCCCGTGTCGCGGACAGGAATCATAAATATAACGACCACGCACCATAAACTTTTTGAAACTTTTCTTAACTGACGAACTATCGATTTGCCATCAGGACGCGATCCGGCAGGCTTATCAAGGTAATATCGTATCTACGTAATGGTACCAATTTAAACTACGACATCTGCGTGTAACGATACCTCCCACACCGGTTGCCGCGCGAATAATAGCTTGTACTTTCCCCCCGTTGTTCGTAGTTTCACGTTATCGACGTTGATCGGGTCGTAAAATTAACAGAAGAGCGCATAACCAATTTCCCTCTGAGATATAGTATCGTAATGCGCCGATACATAAAAGCGCGCCTCGATGTACCGGACATCATATTCTTCCGTAATTTCAATGATAAAAATACAGAAAGACAGCAGAATTATATTATACATACATTGTGTATGCTATATACACATATATATAAGATTTTAAAAATATAATAATATTATATATATTATATATAACTTATTTTTAATAAATTTATAAATATATAAAAAAGAGAAACTTCTAATTGAATTCAAATATTGGTTATATATAGTTCTCTCTCTCTCAGTATTACTCTTGCAATTTTAGAAAACTGTTTTCGAGATATAGATAAGACTCATTTGCTGACGATGATCTTGAAAGATATATTTGCCTGGTTCACTTGGAGCATATTTCTTCGGAGAATGTCTCCGCTAGTGCATCTCGGATAAATGATTACAGCGAGCAGACATGTTCACGATCATCGCTTTTTCTCCTTTTCACTCTCACGCGAAGGATAGCTAAGAATCCAGCTCAGAACAGAATCGACGACGTCACGCGGTTACAATCTCGATATTGTTATATTCGTCGCGCTGTCCGAGCCGACAGTGAACGAGCGGAGACTTTACTCCGCTAATTAATCGGTAATGAAGTATGACTGCGGCTACGGTTACGGGATTATAACAAGAAGAGATAAATAAAGTCTTCGAAGCGATGCGCGCATCGCTATATCGAGCGCGGATTAGCGTTGCCGATGCGAGCGAGAAATGTAATGGAATATAAATGTCTCGGTCGCATCTCGAGACAAAGGGTTATTGCGGCTGACAATAAGTGCATTCGTTGCATGCCGTGCGAGATGCGCGCTCAACCGATTCTTATATTCATATACTTTCAAGTCCATCGATGCAAGCTATGCATTGAAAAAGTTTTTTTATATCTTATGGAAACAAAAAAGAGAGAGATATGCTTAATTATAATGAATAAAATTTTTAACAATAATATATAAAGCATTCGATACGCATTCATGCTTATAGAACACAAATCTTTGATACGGTTCGTCCTCTCTCTCTCTGTCTTTTTCTTTTTCTGTTGATTCTTTCTATATGGGAAAGTTTGTTATGTAGAGTTTAGTAGGTAAATATTATCAAACTTCATCAACAACCAATAGCGTCTATGCGTATGAACCAATTAGCGCTGAGAATTATTTTTGCATGTCTCCTGTCAAGTACTCGTTACTAATCTGTTATCGTGCGTACACAGAAGACATACAAAAATTACTGTAACTCGATTTGGTAAGATAAAGGCATTGATGTTAAGAAACTAATTTATATATTCAGAATCTATTGGATCAATAACTCTTTAGTATATCAATTATTATGACCAATTTTTCTTTGATTTGTCTTGTTTTTTTTTTTGAGTTTTAGAATTACAATAATTTGTAACAGAGTTGCTAACATACATTGCATTTTTTTGTTGCCGTAGAGCACATATTTTTTTTCAAAGCACACCGATAATTATTATTTATGTATTAACTATCATATATTATTTTGAATTTTGCGATATTTTATTCTTGTATAATTTCGCGCTATCATATCTCTAAGAAAATTGATAACAGAGTCAATTATCCTTTAAAATGTATAATTCTTGTTTTAATATAATGTAATATTAATTGTGTGTGTATGTGAGTTACTTATATAATAATAATTTAAATAACATCTAATTTCACGTTAATACTGTGTAATTTACTTGCAAAATATTCGCATTAAGGCAACCGACTATAAAGTATGTTGTGTAAAGTTCGAAGTTCTTTTAGTTTTTATGACCTTGTCGTGCAGAGGTAATATAACAAACATCCCAATTTCCTCACACAAGCAAAAATTTATTACTTTTCATCACTCAGGTTATTTTATCCTTTGTTTTTCTATTTGGACACTACATGTTTTTATGATCTATTCCTTTATTACAAAACTTGAACTGTTGATATATTTAATTCATTCTAATCCAATTTGACATTTTTAAAATGAATACGTCACTAATTTCAGGCACTTGAAACAGTATTACGACAGTGATAACACGATTGAATAAAGTAAGAAAATTACAATCTTGCATAAATAAATTTTCTAAAAGAAAAAGCTAAGAGCAATATCGCACACATTATGATGCAATCGCTATGGGCCATCCTCCTCGTTTCGATTTTTGGTAAGATAAATCATTTATTCCATCAATAAATTTTGCTCGATCTATATTATTTATTCTTTATATCATATACTTGAAATGTAAAAATCTATAATATCTACTAAGACATATATGTATGTTAAATGATGAATTTAACTCCTACAAGGTGCATTATAAACTGCACTAATTTGTTAAGTATAAAATGCATTAATTTATTAATCAACAAAACTTTTTTGCTACAAAAATCGATTTATATTTAATTTAATTTATTAGTAAAAGACTTAATTTATTTATATAATAAATAATAATATCCGGTTAAAATTTTTTTTATAATGGAATGTTTTTAGGAAAAGACTAATTAATAAAACTAGTTTAATATATTTAATTATTAATAGTAATTATTCTTTTAGAAATTGTAACAAGTAATATGACATCGCAATTAACATCTAGTAATGATGAAGAATATAATACATACATTGTATACAATACAACAAAACATACGAGTGACATTTGGAAAACAATATCTAAAAAAAAATCGTATCGAGAAAAAGAATCGTACGATAATAACTTGGCAGATTATATCTTGTCTATCTTAATTGTAACAGTAATTGCAATTGGTTTAATTTTCTATGCAATCTACATCTCCAATCGCAATTGGTAAGTTAAAATTTCTTAACATATATACTTAACATATATGCTTAACACATGCTTGTAATAATTTGTTCAATTGGCTTATACCTATGTGAAAAAAATTCAAAAGTGTAGAATAATTAAATTTTTATTGTATAATCTTTTTACTATTTAAATAATTTTAGATTTATAAGTATAAGAAATTAAGTAGAAAATCCGATTCGGTTAAAATCAGATGAGAAACTAATTGTAAAAGCCCAGTCTGATTAGATTTCGATTCGGTAATAATGAAATCGATACGGTTTCGAATTAGATATAATTATATTTAAACGGGTACAAACCTGACAATAAAGTGGATTGGGTCAAATACTTATCACATATCAATTTGTAGGTGTCCGTCCCGAATCAATGAGTGCATTTCTTCCTGTCGAATATCTTTTGATGGTTTACGTTTATTCTTTTTCTATCGTGAGCGCCCTATGCCGGCGCCGCCTGTGCCGCAAACAGTACACGAATTGCCTTAAGTAAGTAAAATAAGAAACAAAAAAAATTTAGATTTAAAAAGAACATATACGCGGTTAAAGTTAAATATTAATTATAGATTTAAATATTTTAATTAAACAATTAATTAAAGATATAAGTATCTTTAGATCAGATATTGAGTTTTTTCTTCCTTCGGTAATGCGATACTTATTATGTTTTCTTCCATTGTTAGGAATATTTCAGATTTGTACGATTTTCTACATCTATATGAGTTTCTCTAATAGACTCTTTTATTATTATTTTATATTGTAAGCTCTTTCATGATTTCTTTTATTTCTTTTATTAATATTTTTAATTTAATGATATACATATAAACTATTACAAATAATCTATTTTTTCAGCTTTTTTCACCGGCATAATCACCGTATTAATTTGTAAACAACATTACTGTTGCAAATCATTTTTAACATATTTTTAATTTGCGATATTATTATAATATAGACAGAATTTGACGTAAATTTTATGCTATTTGAACAATGCACCCTTTATCTTGCAACTTGTTTATAAAATAGAATATTTATTGACAAATTTATTGCATAATTTGACGATAAAAAAAATCATCATTGAGAATTTATCACTTGAATTATAAAACTAGTCAGTTTTATAATTCATTTTGAACTATTTTGGAATAGTTCAATAACACAATTCATTCAAATTATTGTAATAAATAATTAACTTTAAATAATAATTTTGACAATCTTGAAGCTTGTAATTTTTAGTTTATTTTTTATTTTGTAAAAAATTATTACTTTCACTTATTACAAATAAAAGTGAATAATCTCACATTTTAGATTTCTGCTCAACCGAAAAATTCTGCGTCTGACTAAAACATTTTTATTATAGTTAGAGTTAAAATAATTTGTAATAAATTATATCTTTCTAAGATCTCTCTTAGTTATATTAAAAATGATGTATTATTAAATTTTTTTAGACAAACTTTTCAACTATTTTTTTCTCAACTGTCTTTAATATAACAGTATATAAAAGTATTATACAACATTTTTATATTCTTTCTTTAGGAAATTATCATATATATTTTTATTACATGTTTGCATAACAAAGAAATAAGTTTTTCATCTAGTTGTGCACGTTTCTGATTTTTCTGCAACATGTATAGTTTCTTTACAATGCGATGTTATCTGCACGACGAGGCTAACGAGTTGTCTCCGATCTTTAATTTTATTGTTCTTTATTACGATTGGCTTTGTTCTCTCTTTCTCTCTTTCTCTGTCTTTCATCAATGACTCGCAGGGACCCTTACGAGCGAGCAGTTTCCATATTCTGGACCACCGGGCGAGGAGATTATCTCGGAACGGCACTGATAGCCAGTAAAACTGCTTCGCGACCGGGATCGGCGACTCGCGCGTGCGATCGGCTTCGACAACGGTAAATATCGTCGTCGATCCGCGATAACATAAAGAAGCGAGCGATATCTTGTCGTAGGGCGACCAAGGGATTCTCGGCGAATCCTGGATTCAACTCAAGGCGTATCGCATCTCGATGTGCTTCGGCCGATTCCAGAGAATATAAGATCGAACATTGTGCGAGCTAATGGAGCAAGACGACGATTTAAGCGTCGAACCTGCTGATTAGATACTTTTGTGGTCTCGCCTTAGAAACCGACCGCTGAGTTTACGTGTTCTCCCATTTTTTTCGTTTGCCACACATTTAACGATCGGATCATTTCCCATACGAATCTTTATCCATGTACGTTATGTAATCTCGATAAGCAATGTCGTCGATCATACAACGTCATCGAGATACATTCTTTGAATTATATTCATGCTTATGGTTTTCGTTTCTTCTTCCAGTCTCGACAAGTCAAGTTAAATCGGCATTTTTCCCGCAATTTTTTCTTCTGCAAGCTGGAGATAAAAAACGAAAGATGCAAAATTATACGAACATTTTTTATTTCTGAAAAAAAATCTTCGCGATAGTTAAGAGAGAATAAGCAAATTAATTAACCTTTATGTATGAAACACGTGGAATTTGCGTTAGCCGGATACTATTTCCGCGATTGGCTGACTGGACGATGGTCGGAGTAAAGGTTCATATACGACGGCGGGGAGAGGGAGGAGAGGGTTCTCATCGACAATTTTATACCCGGTGGTCCATGCGAGGCCAAAGGCTAGCGAGTTATTAACAGAAAATTACCGAGCATTCGCTCGGTCTATTGCACGATACACACGCTGAAGTGTCGCGCTAGTCTCGGGGCCGTGAGAGAATGATGCTTCGCGGCTATCCCGTACCCCGTGACGACCGGGAGCAGAAGAACACAGCCGTTTCCAGCCGCAAACTATCAATCGCCCGATCCGATCGTCCGGCATCGAGCGCGATGTCAGTCATTACCGGTTACGCTGATGACGACACCGCGCGATGTCGAATTGACCGCAACTAATCCGGTCAATGTCCTCCTTCCTTACGCGCGAACCTCGAATTTCGAGCATTCGGTACTAGCATTTAAAAGGCTCTATGTTTTTCATTTGTATGAGTGAAAAGCATTAGAAAACGCATACAATAAAAAAATCTTATTTTCAAAAAGTTGCTTTAAAAAATCTTTGAAATATTTTCTTTATCTGGAATTTCGAATAAAAATATCTGGAAAATCAGAGAATTTTTTTACAAGATTTAATTAGAGAGACATTTTATACTCTCTCTTTTTTTTATAAATTCCCATTGTATCTTGAATATATGAATTTACAGCTACGAACGCTTAATGCATCTGCCCTTTGAGTGTTTCGTCCGACATCTCACACGGTTGTGAAAATTGCCGTACACGCCACGTTCGCACGCATACATCTTTGCGCGGGACTCTGATCTTCGCGAGCATCCTCTTTTCCCGCCAGGGGAAATCGTCGACTACAGGAATCCCGTCCACTGACATTCCGGTCCCGTATGCGTGCAGCCACGCACGGCATTTCGCGCATACCGTTCGCGGTACAACCGCTGGAAGCCGCCCCCTTTCTTTTCCTCTCCTTCTTTTATTTTTTTTTTTCCTCTCTCGATCGAATGGAAATTGCACAGTCGGTTGGGCGTGATGCGGTGACTTGGCCGCAAATCGCTACGCGACGATCCGACGACCTATTATTTCCAACATCTCTCTTCCGCGTGCGTCGTAAATTCGTTTTTATCGCGACGTGGATAGTCCGCGATGCGCGTAAATCATTAGCGCGAAGACCTTATCGCGTGCTGTCCAAACAATCGGACAGGACTTCTAAGCACGCGCGATTTATCAACGCGTTTTTCGCACACCGCGTTATCGTTGTACCTGTACAATTGATATATCGCGGTCTAACGTAGATATAGCAATAATTACACGGACGATTTCACAGAATGTTTGTAAAGGAAAATATCGCAGCGAGACACGCTTTTAAAAATTTAGAAAGAAAATTAATGTTATCATATAATTAATCTTTAAAATTAAGATTTTTTTTTTTTCACAAGACACGCTTAAGCTATAAATTTAAGACGTCATATTCTGCAGAGATTGAGATGTACTAGTTCTCATTTTTAATCTTTTCTTATTTTGTATTCTTTAAAAAAATTATTATACGCGTATAAATGTGCTTCCTTTATAATATCCATATAATTAGACTCTGAAAAACAAAAAAGATAGCGAATCGTTAACTCTTCGAGGTTATCGGTATTAGTGATCTTTAAAGCTATATGCGGCATATAGAAATAACGAGATGTCCCAGGATTATCGTTACTTTCGAGCGCACGGATTCCGGTATGCGAGCGAATGTACCTTAGGTTTTTATATCAGAGTATGCGCAGAGAAGAAAACGCGCATAACATCTTGCATCCACTGATAAGTTAGCGAGCGGGCGATAAATCGATGTCGAGGCGAAACTTCCACGCGACGCAGTGGTATCTTTTACAAAGTAGAAAATTATAAGTCATCCGAATGCCCCTGGAGAGGAATCCGCGTTCCAAGCTCCTCTTGCTATTTTCTCCTCTCTCGCTATCGGCTTCGAAGCTGCGCGGCAATCACGGAGAGAACACGAGGTTTCTTATCATCAAAAAAATTGCACATTTAATCACGATTATCAATCGTATCATTCAATTATTAAACAGAAGCGCGCTGCGAGAAGATGCGCGGCTTGATATTAACGCGTAACCCGATGTCCTCTCTTGCCTTACTACTCGCGGTTGGTTGCATCCGCGGTATGCGCGAACGCCCGGTGATGTCACGAGAAGTGACTCTCGTTAAATCTCTCGCCAGCAGCGACGGCGAATCTTTCCCAGATAAGATCCGTGGAAGCCGATTAGCCGCGGAACGCGATCGAACACCTGTAACGAACGCGGCTCCGTCGCGCGTTCCTCCGCGTATCGGGCGAGTCATGCCGATCCTTCGGCTCGATCCTGCGTCGCTCGGATCCTGCCGCGTCATAGACGTTAAATGACAGAGATAGCGAATTAGATGCGCGAGCTTCCAACCACTCGATCCGAAGAGTAGTAGCTCGTAATCCTCTCTTTAATTTTTTTTTTTAACTGCAAGTATATTTAAATTATAAAATTTTTATAAATATCCTCTCTTTAAGAATGTGTATTGTTCAATGAAAAAAATACGTAATCTTGCTGTTATATCTGTCTAAAAATTGTTTAGGGTCACTTTGATCCCGTGTGCACTCCGCGAAACTCTAGGGAGATGTGCACTCGAATAGTTAAATAAACAATAAGACGATTCAATGCTATCGTGCACTTCGCGATCGCTCGTCGATCTTTCGCAACGATCGCATCTCGCGATTTCGTAAACGGGGGGATAATAAAGCTTGATCGAGTCACGCGAGTACGCGGAAAAGTTAGCGCTGGAAAATCTGACCACCCGCGGCGCGTTTGGCCGGGCGAGTGGGCGTTATTTTGTACGGCTGCTCTGCATCAGCTGTTGTACGGCAAACGTTGGAACGAGAAGCGAACGGTGTGGGAGAAGCCGGTGCACTTCGCCGACGCGTTCAGAAGCACGGCACTTTCTCTCTCGTCCGATTCTGAGGACACCCGTCGACCTAGTTCGCGAAACGCGTTGTGCGTCGCGCTAACCGTATTCAGACATCCGCGATTAGGAAAGTCACATGGATGACTTTCGATTTTCGCAACTATAGAAGACATCTATAAAAGGTCTATTAAAAAAAAATGACAGTAAATGTTTATAAAATGTCTATTAAAAAAGAGATATAATGAATATTTTTTTCTATTTCTTTTTATAAAATTCTTACTTATTTAAAAATTTATTTTATAAATTCTCTTTTTATGTATTAATATTCTTATTATTTATTTTTTATTTAAATTATAAATACCGTTATTAAAGTCTAAAAAAATTTTGAATAGTTGAAGAGAAATTAATGAAGAATAATAAAAATATACAGTTTATATACATGTTTTTGTAAACTATATTTTATATTTAAATATAATATATACACACACACACATAATTAAATGTACATAAGAATATATATAATGATAAAAATTTAGAAAAAAATAATACAAATATAAAAAAAATTTAACACAGATTTAAAGAAAACAGAAGTGCAACTTACAAAAAAAAACAAAGACGTCACTCCTCGTGCGCTTGCAAGCGCGTTGGTTCCGAAAGAGCATTTGCGATTAATTAGTTCGTTTAATCAAGTGTATGTGTGATAGGCATTTTATTATATTTATCCGGCCGTTCGCGCAAGTCGTCAACGACT